GCTTCATTCTGGGGGCAGGATCAAGCAGCAATTGAGAATCCCGGGGCCCTTACCCTCTTCCCTCTCCTGCCCCAAATCTGTCTAATCAACAGCTTTGTATTCTTCCTCTTCCCACTGTGAGCCCGTTCCCCAGCTGCCAACTGCAGGCCATTGTCAACTCCTGTCCCCACGGGATCTCTTTCCCAGCCCCATGCTGGGGTTCTGCAGTATCTCTAACTCACCCACTCCCCTCCTTCTAGGGACTCTGTTAGAAACCTGCCCACTGTGCTCCCGCCACACCCAACCCACGCAAACTCAGAAGTCCTTACACGGCCTTCAATACTTCAGACACCTGTCCTTACTGATTGTCACACCCCGTCCATCTGCCACCCTCCTCCTCTGGGTCATTCTCTTCCCCACAATGGACTCCCCAACTTCTGTTCTAAGAAGCCAGGCCTCCTGTCCTTACCCTAGGGCCAATACACTGGCTGTTCCCCTGCCTGGAGTACTCCCCACAGTTACCCATGAGGCCTCTGTTTTAGGGGCACCGCCACAGGGAAGGCCCCCAACTCCAGCCACCATGATTGAACTTGACCCACAGATTCCTTACTCAGTCCCCTTGTCTACACGACACTCCTGTTGGTAAGATGCATTGCATTCATGTTCTTATGCTTGCGGTCAGTCTCCCTCATAGACATGTAAACCTTAGGAGAAACAAGGATTGACACCACCCCGTCCTACTACATAGTCAACTCCCCCTGTCCCTTCTCCCAGCCACTGAGCCAGGCCAAACCTCATGACGGCTCTGCATCCTGCAAAGGCTCCAGAAAGTCTCTCCACACCACTCCCTCAAAGACCAAGCCCCCAGGCAAGACCCTCCTACCAGCTTCCCCAAGCCCATCATTCCAGCATGCCCTCCATCACAGACTTTGTAGTCCACATCGCAGGAACCCATCCAAGGGCTGCAACTTTATCTCCCTGAACCTCAAAGGTGAGATGGGCTGCAGAGTCTATCTCACTAGGAGGCTTGGTGCAAACTAGAGACAGCAATACAATTCATATTCATATACATTATTATTACTCCTTGGTGTTGCCAATCTTCACAACCTTGATTTCCTTTCAACCAACACCTGACCCACAGGGCAACCCTCCCCAAGTCCAGGGTCTTCAGGTCTACATGCCCTCTGCCAGAGACAGCCTCCCCAGGCCTGGCCATTGATGGCCAAAGCTGGCCCAATCTATGTCCTCCACGAGCCCTGCATGCCTAATGTTGTCTTTGCCACAAGGGATTTATCAAATATTTGGGGAACTACTCCCTCCTTCCCTTGACTCATGTCAACCAGTCCCATGGTGTCCAGAACCAGTTTTACCAGAGGTAAGACTCAGTAGACACCAAAGAAAATCACCTCTCATTGTCCTTACTCCCTACCCAGAAGACTATGGGACCAACGCTAGGGCTCCACCCCTTTTTACCAACTATGCCACACGGAGCAGGTCACCCATATCCTTGGAACCTCAGTTCAGTGATGAACACAGGCACCTCCATGGACTGCCTTCTCAGAATACATGGGAAATAAAGGCCACAGTCAGGCCAAGACTTGGCAGGGCATGGGGAACCACCATGCTTGGGAAGGACTCTCAACTTCACCAAGGGTTCTCCCTGAAAGGGGTCATGTTCCTATATACTAAAAGATACAGGAAGGGCCATAGCTAACGACTGGAGGCTGGGTCTTTCTTTCTTACACTTTCGTGTATGCTTTGGTTGATTTTCATCTGTTATCTAGTCTTAGGAAAAAGGAAGAGTCCATTGGAAAGGAAGGAAGGAAAGAAGGAAGGAAAAGAAAAAGAAAATAAGAGAGAGAGAGAGAGAAGAAAGGAAGGAAGAGAAAGGAAGGATTGATTCATTCCACTGGGCTAAACGTGGCTCTTACCGGCCTCCAGCATCAGCTATTAAATGCCACATGGACCCTTAGTCTTGTGACAGTGGAAAAGGAGATGCTGGCCAGGGGCTGTACCTAGGTTTGCAAAGATGTAATTGTGAAGGGGAATCAGACCCCTCCTCACACACAGCCTTCTAGAGTCAGAGCCTACCAGCTCAGCTGAGTGCCCACAAAGTTCTCAGTGGGCCTAGAGAAGAATTGAGCCATCTTGAAAATGCAGAAAGTGTGGCTTTATCCATGGTGGGTGCCCTTGGATTCTGAGGCAGGTATGTGGGAGTTGAAGAGAAGCCCCTTCCACCTCAGACTGGAGAATCAGAACAAGAAGTCCCCCTCCTCTGTGATGGGGGCGAGGAGGTCAGCAAAGGGAAGCAGCGATGTAGTGGCCAAGCCCGCCCCCTGCTGGCAATGTCTGGAAGAACAGCACCAGCTTTATACTGCAGGGCCCAAAGGGATTACACCCGACCTCTCTGACACATAGGCATCAGGGACCTACTCAGATAGAGGTGTCTGGGCAGGGAGGAGTGGAGCTCCTGCTAGGCTGAGAGACCCAAGATTCCATCTCTAGTTTCCCAAACTTTCCTGGGTGGAGTTCCTTCTGGTGCAATCTTCCTGAACCTAGTCACCGAAAGGTTGCTGCAGGGAACAGGTTGAGAGAGAGGGATCCTCCACATCCTACCTGGATCTTACTACTCCAAGGTCCCTCCATGCCTCCTGGGCAACCAGGGGAAGCCAGTCCTGCTACCATGGCCTGATTTCCACTCCCACCCCAGGTATCGATCTTCCACATCATTCATTTGCCAGGCCTTGGCGGCTGTGATTAGCTCTCTCCACCTCCCCACGGAGCTCCCCGCCCATCCCTCCATGTTCCAGCAAAGCAAAGCTAATATGGGGCTCTAAATGAGGCTTTACCACCCAGCCACAGCAGCTCAGAGCCAGACCTAGCCAATTACATGTAGGCCCCTCAGATAGTCCCAGCCTGCCCCTCAAGGGTGTTTTCCTTGGCTCATACAATCCTTTACAGTCTAGCTTCCAGACCCTAGAACTTGACCTATGTATGATGTTCGGATGCCCAGCCTGCAGGATAGGAGGGGACATCTGCCTGAAGTGGGGTGGAGGCACCCCAGGAAGAACTCTCTAGAAAGGCCCTGTGGGAAGCCCTCAGGCAGGCTTGGGGGGTTGTCAAAGGCAGCACAGCTAAAATACCCTGGATTTGTAGACACAAAACAATCTTTCCCTTGGACAATGTCTGTAACAGAGAATGAAAAGGGGGAAAGGAAGGGAAGTAGGCGGAGATCTTGGGGTTTTAGGGAGACCTAAGCCTGTGGCTGATTCTAGGGGCAACTTGCTTCCAGAGGGATGTGGAATCCAGAGGGGAAAGTCCCAAGCACCCCCACTCCCATCAATACTTAGAAGCCCCACACTGGGAAACTCACTTCCCGAAATTCCTTCCCCACACTCCCCCGAGGAAGTATGGGGGGGCTGACTTGGTGATAATTCTGTAAGCGATGCTCTCTTGTCAAATTATTCAACATCTGTCTTCATGTTCCCACAAAAATTAGCATAGGATAGTAGTTTCTGATGACACCTTTGGTGAAATATTTTGACTTCCCCCAGTACGTTGCAAACAACCTGTCTTAAGGATAATGTCACTTCCCACTCCTGCATATTAAATAATCCAGGGGTTTGTTGTGTTTTTGTAAGCAGCTGAATCCCGCTCACAGGTCCCTGCCTGGAAGTCTGACTGCATTGAGAGGGGAACAAGAAGCTGGGACAGAGGATGGGAGGCCTCTAACTCTGCCTTCATAGAGCATGCCACCCCTCCTTTGCCTGCCTACTGCATTTGTCACAGAACTAGACCTTGGGGCCAGCCTCAGCCACACACACACACACACACACACACACACACACACACACACACACACAGAGGCCAGGCTGAAAGCAGATTACAGGATCCACCCTGTAAACAACAAACTGGGCTAGAGATTGAGAATTGGGGAAGGAGGAGGCCCTGCTCCAAATGGACCATCTGGTCCCACACCCGGCTGCTGTAGCATTTGTAGCCCCAAAGGAGAGCAAAGCCACCTGGCCAGACTGGGAGGGCCTCCCCAGTCCTGCTGCTGATGTCAGGGTTAGAGTTGGAGGGCAGACCTTACAGGATGCAGGGCCTAGGGCTCTGAGCAGCTGTCTCCCACTAGGATGGATGGACCGTCACCCACACCAAAGGCCCCATCCTTTCCCTCCTGCCTCCCTTGCCTTCACCCTCCTAATGAGCCTACCCTTTCATCAGCAGCACAGGCCTGGGGCAGAATGACAGCAGCAGCTGAAGTCCATCCCCAGCACATGCTAAGTACTGTCTCCCTCCTGAATGCCAGTGAAACCCAGCACTTTAGTCTCTTGTCTTTTAGGGCTGTAAGCCTAGGCAGGGCCTTGTGGCTTTTCTCTGAGAAGAGACCTTCATCTAAAGCCCTCTGTCTTGGTGAGCGACAAGCTTTGGAGATACCTGAGAATTTCATGAAGCGTTTTCAACCTGCAGCTCTTCATCTACTCAACAAACCTCATCAGGGTTCCCACAGGGTGCCCAGTAGCATGCTGGGCCTGGATGCTGTGGTGGATGGCCAGGGTGGACAGCTCCATTCCTGTCTAGTATCACACTCTCGCTCGTTTGTTTCACCTGCTTTGGGGTACAGAGGAGTGGGAGGGGCAGAACAAACCCTAGCTCGCCACCCTACTTTTTAGGCCAGTCCCAACCTCCCTGAGGCGTCACTGGTGCTTGTAACATCACAAGGGGCAGTGTCCCCCAGCTCCTCTTTCTTTTGTTTCCCATCCACCTCCAAGAAGACTTCCCATGCAGCAATCTCCCTGCAGCCCAGCCTTCCCTGGAGCCAAGCTCTCCAAGAACAGGTTCAAAGAATGCCAGTGGAGAGCCAAGGGTGGGCCCACTGGACCACTCTTCTTTGATTGGTAACAAGAGCAGCTGGGACCTGGGCATGTAAGAGATGGGAGAAAATCAAGAAAAGGGAAGGGGGGCAGAGACACAGAGGGACAGAGGGCCTACAGAGACAATGGCTCTTGTCCCCTAACCTCTGTCCGCATTGTTGGGGTTCTGACGTAGGCCCAGAGAGCTTTCCTTAAGTGCTCCTTGGGCCACACCGATGAAGAAAGACTGGAGAAACCCAAACCAGACAGCCATGAGATAGGTCATCATCCTAGTCCAAGAGCCCCGGAGGAAGGTGCTGATAGTAGACTGAGACCTCTGGAGGGTGTGTGAGCAGGGTGTTTGGGGGGTACTGGAGAAAGCCTCTGGTATGTTCCTGTCCTAGAGAGGGAAGACTTGTTTCATACTCCCCCACCCATACATATAACCCAGTCTCTTGCAGCATCCCTCCTGCCTGCCTGGTTTGGCCTATGCCAGGGGCCAGGCAGCAAGACACACACAAACTAATTAAGAAAAGGAGTTTGGCTGGATGCCTGGGCTGGCCTCACCAGGGAATTAAGCCCAAGCCAGCTAGCTGTTGGAGCCCAGGGGTATATACTTTTCAGATCCTGGCTCCCCAGAAAACTCCTTTCTCTTGACAGGCATAGGCAGAGAACCAGGAGCTAAAGCTAGTAGTCAGGGACATGGGCTCTGTCACCCATACCGTTACAGGTCCAACTCCCTCCACTCTCAAAGAGAATAATTAGATTACTGGCCCCAGAGAAAGAGGGCGAACCTTGCCCACCCCAGCCACACTTCGTTAGAAAGTAACTACAAAGCCCACCCTACGGTCAGGAGAAGGCAAAGTCAGGGCCATAGGCTCTGGGGACTGATTCTCTGTGTTGTGTATGTCGGGAGAGTAGTATTGAACCAAGAAGCTTTCACTGAGAAAACCCGCGGCATGAAGTGGAGAAAATGTGGCCAGAATACTCCTTGGCGCGACGGAGCATGGCTTGGAGATGCGGGAGCAGAGCTGCGAGGCAGGAGGCAGAGTTTAGACACGTAGCCGGATGGGTGCGAGCGGTGATTGCGTTTCCTGAGGACGGTGGCTGAACGTGTCTGTGTGTGCAAGCAGGCAGAAGGAAGCTGGGGCTGGGGTTCTGAGGGTGGGAACCAGGGACAGGAGGAGCTGGCTCGGGAAAGGTCTGAAAAGGGATGCGGCGAACGGCAGGCGCCTGGACTAGGGGATGTCCAGCATCGACTCAGACCGATATGAATCGAGAAGAGGCGGCTGAGCGGTGGCTACTACCGGGAATGCGAGCCAGCCGCCCGATCGCGGTGCTGGCGAGCATCTCTCCCGCCCGCCAGCCGCGCACAACTCCGGATCGCATCGCTTGCTTTCCCTCGGGAGGCTGAGCCAGAGCTTGGGCTCTCCCTGGGTCTCCTGAGCCACAGGATTTTCCCAAGACTTCCAGATCACTCCAACCCCTGGCAAGATTTTGGAAAACCGAAACCTTGCCCCGGCACCCCCAGCTTCATGATATACTCTAGGACCGTTTCCTAGGCTCTGGAGCAGCCTACTGGGTCTCCTGGCGCCTGGGTGAGGGCGGAGACGCGGTCATCCACTCCAGAGTGCAAACCCCGGGCTCCACCAAGGCCCGGCAAGCGCGCACTTTGAGTAAGATCTTGCAAAGTTTCCGCGCGGCTCCGCCAGGGTGGAGCTGGACGCCGGCTCTTACCATAGACTCCTTGTCCCCGACAGTGGAAGGGGATCAGCGCCAGAAGTAGAAGGCAGGTCACCTCCATCTTCACGGCCAGTGCTTCATCCCCGCGAGGCGGCGCAGCCTGAGAGGCGGCGGGGGGCGCATCCACCAGGGCACCGCGATGCCCTCTGCCTTCCCTCCTTTTTCCTGAGACGCGACAGAGAGCGTAGCGACCGAGAGCAGGAGTCTGAGCAGGCGGCGACTCGGCTCTGTCCTCTTCCCACAGGGCGGCTACCCGAGTGGGGACGCAGGGGGCGCTGGCCCAGACCCTGGTGCCTCTGCGCACCGGGCGCAGCAGCCAGATCCCTGGCCCAGAGAGCTCGGCCACCTAGCAGCCCCGGGTCCCCAGGGCTGTCTGCCGAGGGTGCTGAGCGCGGGGGACCTCTCGGTTGCGGCGGCCGAGCTCCGATCCAACAGGCCACCGATGCTTGACAAACTTGTCGTTCCCCGTGAAGGGGATGCCCCTCGGTAGAGCCAGGCAGAGAGGTTAATCCGCTAGCTCCAGTCCTGCAGTGGGTGGGAAGGGCTCGGCAGCCCGACCCAAGGGAGCAGGGCTAGGCGCCCTTCCTGGAGGCGAGGGCGCCCCGGGTCCCGGTCCTGTCGACCGTAGGAACAGCGAGGACTAGATTCGGCCGCAAGGCGAGCGCTCCGGATCCCCGGGTCCACGAAGTTGGCCGAGCTGTCGCCGAGGAATCCGGGGGAGGCGATCGCGTCCCAGCGCCCCCGCGGGAATCCGGAGAACGATTTCAAAGCAAGAGGGACTGCAGCCAGCCAGCAAGGGAAGGAGGAAAGTTTGAGTCCTTTGAAAATAATTCGCGCTCTTGCCGAGGCCGGGGCAGCAGCTCGGGAGCCGCCGGCCGCCTCCTGTCTCCACGCTCCTCTCCCGCCGTCTGGCCGCGGCCGTGGCGCTCCCTGGCTCCGCGATCTCGGGAGAACGGGGCTGCGCCGCGCCCCAAGTTGGGCGTCCCCGCCCCCCTCCTGGAGGCCTGGGCCCCAGGGGGTCCCAGCGGGCGGGGCCAGGCCGGGCTCCCCGGCACCGAGGCCACTCCGGCTTCAGGGCCGCGGGAGCGCTCCGCTCGGTCGGCAACTTGGGCTTCGCTGTGCTGCTTTCTGGTCCCTCCGAGCTTTTCATTCCGCGCTTCCTCCACCTCCCCACCACCACCACCCCGCCTCCCTCTCTCCCGCCTCCCTCTCTCCCTCCTCCCATCTCCGAGATCGGTCTCTCGCTCTCCCACCCTTTGTCGCTCGCTCTCCTGTTTGATTCCCCTCCAGTTAAAAAAAGGAGCCAATTAAAGGCGGCCCAGCTCGCCCGGCCCAGCCTCTGTCCAATTTCTTTGCTTCCCCCAGGACCAATTAGAGAAAACAAAACAGGACTGGGGGGGAAGCAGCCCTCTCTCTCTCTCTCTCTCTCTCTCTCTCTCTCTCTCTCTCTCTCTCTCTCTCTCTCTCTCCTTCTCTCCTTCTCTCCTTCCCCCCCCCAATCCTCTCGCTATCTCCGCCTCCCCCACCAGCCCCCTGGCAGAAAAATGTCAGAAAGCAGCAATGGATCCATCTATCCCGAGGACAGTAGAGGGAACGTGGGTTCGGCGCGGGCTCTGCAGCCGCGCACTCGCACACGCTCTCCGCCCGCCCTTCCACAGCCCAGGCTGGCAAAGCCCGGGCCGGGTGCAAACGGTCGCTGCATGCTCGCGGGCCAAGTACGGGTGCCTCGCTGCGGGGACCTAAGTCTGCAGGGCACTGGACACTTATGAATGTTTTGTACTTTGGAGAAGGCGGGACTGGAGCCTAGGATCAGAGGGAAAGGCCAAGACGTCTGCTTCTTCTAGACCAATGCTGGCGCGAGAGCCGGCTGCCTGCTGTCGCTCTGCAGGGATGTTGGCTCTGCTTGGGAATCCCGCCGCCTCTACCATCACCCGCCCCTGGCCGAGCCCCGGCCCCCTTCCAAGCCGCCTCGGCCTCTCCCGGGTCGGGCGCCAAGCCACTGCCAGAGCCGCTGAGGAGGACACGCTTGCAGCTCGCGTCCTAGCCCCGGCCCACAGGTTGCCAACAGGTTTGCCAGCAAGACCCCAGTGCCAGAGCTCCATAGGGGCACTAAGTGTTCACTTCAGCCTGCTTCTCCGGCACCCTGCCTCCCCGCGAGACCTCAGGCGTGGCCAAGTGTCCTAGAGGTGCACGCCCTTCCCGCAGCCAAGCCGGGGCCTGAATCCAGCACCCCAGGTCTCCCCATCACCTCAACCTGGCCCTCCCCGAAGCCGCGACCAAGACAGAGTTCCTTCCAGATGCCCTTGGGGAGGGGCGTGGGCTGGGGAGCGAGGTGCGCGACCTCCCCGGCGCCTCCGATAGCGTCTCCCCACCCGGGTCCTGCTAATCTCACCTGCTCCACCTGTCGCCGCTATTTATCTCGGTGTGAGCATAGGGAATGAACTAGAGCGGCCCGTGGGAGCGCGGACAGCCACCTCAGCTAACAAGCTTGGAGACTGGATCCTATTCCGGATCTGCTGCGATAGTGGCTCCATGACTCCAGACCAAACTCAAAGACCTGTTCACCCAAAGAGTTGATTCTCTTACATGTAAATTCACACATAAATTAAAAATATTAGTAACAAACCCCTCCTTCTCCAAATCCATTTCCCACCGTGATCCTCCTCTGACCCTCCTGGGCAGACCTAACCCGCTAAGGAGTGGAGAGCATGACAGGCCTGGTAGGTGGGGAGGGGTACCATCAGCCTACCCTTTCTTAGCTTCCTTTTGATCCATCCAGGCCTTCAGCACTTGTTCCCGCCCTCCTCATTTCTTCCCTCCTTTTACCGTGGAGGCCCAAGGCTCAGTTGAGGCTGTCGAAGCCCAGCTCAGCAACTGGAGATTTGTTAACTGAATGAAAGAATGGATAAAGGAATGATGCCCATCACGGGCCAGAACCCGCAGCAGCCCAAGGCAACCTTCAATGTGCCATCATCTTTACTCACAGCCTCCTGTCAACCCAAAGGGAAAGTGCATGATTTGCTCCATAGATATCCAACGTCTTCCCACTCACCTCTCCCACCCAGTCTGAAAGGGAAGTGGCACCAACTGAGGGGGTAATGGTGAGTAGCTGGGTTTACAGTGCTGTTGCCATTATTGGAAAGCTTCCAGAATCCCCCAGGAAGCTCCCAGGGAGTCATCCCGATGACTCAGGCTCTCCCTGGCTTTGCCTATTCTGGGAAGCTGTTGTCTTCTTTTCCAGTTAGCCTCCCCAGCCCCAAACAGCATCAAACTGCTCCTCTTTGGCACAGCAGAAAGGATGGGGATATTGTTTCAACACACACTGGTGTATAGAAGAAAGAGGCCTTGGGAGGGAGAAGGGTTGGGGAGGAGGGGAGCAGAAGTCCAGAGCCTGGCAGGCTGGGATTGAACATTTGCTGTGCTAATCCACTTGCGAATACTCGCTGTGTGTAGTGTAAACACCTCGACAGCCTGTTCATGTGTGCCTGTCAACTCAGTCATTTCCTCCCACAGTGTTCCAGACCTGCAGTCTGGGACAGAGCCCCAGAACTGACAATGGCAGGCAACCTCAGGGAAAGCAAAAGTTCCAGCCCTTATCTCTCTGGGCCTCATTTTCCCTAGATGTCAAGTAGGTGGGATCCCTACCTACCAGAGTGGTTGAGAGAACTGGGTGCCTGCTGTAGGAGCAGAGGCTTCCGGTCAGCAGTCTCACAGAGCAGGGAAATGGTCAGCTGTTAGTCACCAGGCCGAACCGAACGGCCTAGCTCTTTCCTCCTGAGCTACCTATGCTGATGCCGGTATGCAAGTTCAGAGGTGACTAGATACATCTTCATGAGAAGCATATCATGTTCTATACACGCACCAGAACAGTGTTCTGGACCCTACATGGGGCTGCTCAGAGTGTGACAGCATGAGAGCTAGACCCCAAGGTCTTTGGGAGCCCCTGATCAGACTGTGGCAGGCTACCTGGGGCCACCATCACTCCTCATTGAAGAAAACCCTCTTTGCTTTGTCTCGGAGAAAGCACAGCACTTGGGCCTCAGCAAGTACCCAGAACTAGCTGACACTGGTTGTGTGACTAAGATGGGCCAGGGAAGCAGGGTCCCAGGGCAGGGCTCAGCCAAGGAAGCTAGCTGCAGACTCTAATGACATCACTGTCACTAGGACACTCTCCATCTCATTCAGCTTCTTGTTCTCCTCCTGTGAATCAGAGCTTGGAAGGGAACAGAGGGAGAATGGAGAGAGACTCGGCCTGGCCCCGATGGTGTCGTCGCCTTGTGAGGTAGATTGCGTCTGAAAATCATACAGTGGCAGGTATTGATTGAATCGCACAGCAGGCTGGGTTCTGGTCAAAGGGAGGATGCTGGCTGGGAGGGGTTGAGGGCTGGTGAAAGTTATGACCCAGCTGAAAGACCAGTTTATTAGTTCCAGCTCTAACAAATAGCCAATTAATGGTTCCAGCTGCTAATTAGTAAGCAGTTAACTTCTGTTATAAACTGTACAGCTCAAGACTAAGGATAAGGCAATCTTTCCTTATCCTTGGGAGAGTAAGAATCTACCAAATTTTGTCACCAAGGCTGTAGCCCCTGCCACCCCCTCTCTCCTCCATGCCCAGGTAGGCTCCGCTGACAGAATGCAGGCTTCAT